CCACACCTTATTGGGATTACAAACCCTAAGCCCTAAACCCTAAACCCTAAACCGCGTATTATTATTATTATTTGGGATTACAGGACACCTACCTCAAAGCTGGACTCCTGGACAAGACTGGCGGGGAGTTAGTGCACCTGATTTCAGCGTCTCGGCTCGTGGGTTTACTTGCCCGGTGGTTAAGGGTTTAGGGTTTAGGGTTTAGGGGTTTAGGGTTTAGGGGGGACTAGGGTTTAGGGATTGGGGTTCGGGGTAGTGTGTCTAGCCTTAAATCCTCAACCCTGAACGATAGACCCTTGAACCCTTAAGCCCTAAACTTTAAACCCTAGGTTAGGAGCTACGAAGTTGCGGTTGAAAAGCAATTAACAACTTGTCCAGGGAAGTGCTGCCTTGGAGAAGGATATCCATGCATAAATGGTTTTCAAGGACATCAGGGGTCAGGGTTTAGGGCGTAGGTTTCCAAGACCGACGCTGGCTTTGAGTAGGGATCTCCAGTATCCTAACCCTGAACAGATCTTCCTTGGACCCCGGGGTACTTCTCGTTCGGCCGTCTGTCTCAAGGCATGCATGCCCAAACCTCGAAATGGGCCAAACTCGAGGGCCACTTATTCTACTCCTAAACCCTAACCCTAGAACTCTACTCCTAAACCCTAAACCCTAGAACTCTACTCCTAAACCCTAAACCCTAGAACTCTACTCCTAAACCCTAGACCCTGGACCCCCCGCACCATCTCCGGGTTGTTCGCTGATCATCGTTAAGCCTCTACGTGTTCATCTAGAAAATGAAGTAGGTAATCGTGAGGATGACCTGCTACAAATCTGTTGTCATCCATCTCTACACCTTAGGTGGACCCCCCCCACCCAGTAATAGCGACTATAAGAGATAATAAGGACTATATTAGGGCAGTCTTATATATATTTCTGTTATATTATTATTCCGATTATACCACTGTTAAAGGGTGGGGGGTCCTCCCCTAAACCCTACACCCCCTTTCATACTTTTCTACGCCCTTGAGGATGCCGCGACAATGCAGATCATTCGCTGGACTGACGTTGACATTAGGGAGCTTCTCACAACATATGAGCTGTGATCTAAACTCCTTAATGGGGGTTTTTATATTGGGTTTAGGGATTAGGGTTTAGGGTCTAAACTCCTTAAAGGGGGTTCTATAGGGGATTAGAAAAGGGACGACTATAAGGTTATTAAGGGGATACTGGGAGCTTAGACAATGGTTCATATGCCAGGGAATCCCTGCTAGAGACCCCTATCATCCGAAACAATCCCCACAGTATATATTTGGTAGCTTGTCAAAACTGCAGTCCTTTTGCCCAATTGTAATACGAGGGTACCCGAAAGTGATGCCAATATGTATGTACATACATATATGTATATATATGTTGTGAAGTATATCTTATATACCTGGCTCTGTCTCTCGAGGGTTCTCAAGGGCCTCTCAAGGGCCCTACATATTGAGAGATCCCGAAAAGCTTTGGTACGGCCGAGACATCCCCAAATGTTAGGATGAGTTCAGGGCTTAAATATTTTCGGACGACCAATATAACTTGGAGAGATCCCCCTTCAATCCCTGCACTTTGCCCCATACAATTCCTGTATGGTTCCCATGTCAAAGTTAGATCCACAATGGCCCGCGCGATTTGAAGTTCGTGTTCCTGGTGGAAGCTCCTAGTTCATAAGGTCAAGAATTCAGGGCGGAATACTTGAAGCCTCAACTTTGAACTCTTACCTAAACACCCAAAATATGAAAAACAACGGCCCTATATCCATAATAATAGCCCTAGAGGCCATTATTTTACATCTTTTGGGGTTTAGGTACCCTGTATACTCCAGAGGATTATGGCATAAACGGCCCGAGGTCGCTGAGGCCACGGTCCCTCCTCCACAGTAATACATCCCTAAACCCGAAACCCCAAACCCCTAAATCCCTAAACCCCTAAACCCTGAACCCTAAATCCCTAAACCCTAAATCCCTAAACCCTATATAAACCCTGAACATGAAATTGGGTGGATGTTGACTTTCAGGGGGAGGCACGGCTCATGGTTGGTTTAGGGTTTAGGGTTTAGGGCTTTAGGGTTTAGGGTTTAGGGCGAGATAACAGAACGCGAAATCCCTACTTGAAGGTTCATTCCCCGCCTTATGGGAGTTGCCCCAAGAATAAGAAGCGATTGATCGCCTGTTTTGCTTGCTCGCTAGGTTTCATGAGCATAGAAGTGTACGCTAAACCCCTTAACCCCAAACAGTGCAACTTCTTATCCTCGCCGGCATGCTGCTTTCCGAGCCTAAATCTGGTCAGAACCCTGCTCTGCCCTTAAAGCGGTACTTGCGGTACTTTCCAGAGACAGTTTTGGGATTGGGCGTAGGAATTTCACTGTAAGACAGCCCTAGGCCCCAAGCCTTTCAACCCTAAACCTACAACCGAAACTGAAAGGGATGACTCTGCGATTCCAAGCCTACTTCAAGATTCTAGTCATTCGGTGGCATACTGAATGAAGGGGTTATGATTATAGTACGCAGATGCAGAAAGTTAGGATAAAATTGGTACAGTTGACTCAACTGCATCTCCATGTCCACCCCAAAGTACAAGCCGTTTGCTCAGAGCCCTAAACATACTGAGCAAGCAGGACCGGCGGTGGCTTCGGCATGGCTTGCCACAACTACGACGGAGACATGCTGACTGACGAGGTTGCGCAGGCTGGAGATGACGGTTGTAAGGTTTAGGGTTTAGGGTCAGACTATTGGCGATTCGGTTTCAGAATATTGGGTTTAGGAATTTAGGCTTCGGATCGAGGATCATTTTGGCAGTACGTGCCTCCTGAATGCATGGGAACCCTCATACGAGCTTCCTTAAGAAGTTAGGGCCTTGTAATGGGTCAGATCAGCAAAGAAAAACCACGTTTCCAGCTTTGAGATACAGATTTGCGACGCTTTCTACAAAAAAAGCCACATGTTTGAGGAGTCTTTTATATTGTTGTTCGTGTTGCTCTCACTGTTACTATGTGGATTACGCACTCTAGCTTTCCATTTGTCCAGCGTTCTTAGATACCTGCGAGTGTCTAACCGGGCGGCAGACACACTTGCAACATGGGGCACTGATTCTGGGCATAGAGGGGCACCAGGCATAAGAGCCTGTACCAGGGTTCCATGGTGTCAAGTGCACACGGAGAGCATTGGGGCCACCTGCTTGCCTAGACACCTGAGGACGGATCTAGGAGAGTGGAGCCCTGTGATGATTCCCAAGTGAGTAGTACCTTAATTGGGGATACTATGGTACCCAATATAGCGTAAGATTGTATCCTCCTTTTTGGGTATAGTATTTCATATAAGGAATATTATCTTACTGGTTTAACCACCAAAAAACGCTACTCAAGTGATCATCCGAACCCTCAGTCCTAAACCCTAAAGGAATTTGACCCTGCAGGTACACCGAAGTCCAGGTTTCATCACATCGATGCTCCCTGCGCATTCAGACAGGGCTTGCTTAGAATCATGGATGTCCTTTGGGTGACGCAGTTTGGAAGCCACCCAGTAGTAGTGACTATAGGG